CTCTGCTTGAACTGTTAAAAGAAGGCCTCTAGTCCTCCTGACTATGAACTAGCAACTGGTTGTTTCTGGTGAAGCATCTAAAACGTCGACCACTACATAGAGACTTGCGCATACTAGTCGTATGCTGTCTCACATGTCTAGAGAAGTTATAGCAGTAGCTTTTAGGCTGAAGTCAAGTCATATGATAGGTGGAAAAGGATAACGGATGGACTAAGCAACCATTGTCATGATGAATGAGGTCTACTCTACCAATAATTGGTAAAATACCAAACTGCATCAAATTTTTAATGAACTATTGAAACAATCAATGAGATCGATTGGACAAGCATCAAATAATATTATCTTCATGCTGCTAATATTAATTTTTTATTATGTTCCATTTCCAAAATCTTTATTTAAATATTTTTAGTGATACAATTTGAGTTTCTTGATTTAAGTGCGACAATCTGGTTGAGTAGTTTATAGTATCTATATATCAACTTCACTTCAGACACAATTTTTGGTTAAAGCTTCTAAATTTTATTGCTGATGGCGATGGGAACTTGGGGATATTCTATTGTCTTGATTAGCCACTGAAACGGAAGAGTGAAACAACAAATTACAAACAGGGAGTTGGTGCACAGATAACAGATTCTGGATATGCCGATGTGAGTAGTCCAATGCAGACACCAATCTCAGGGAAAGTTGGAAAGGCACAGAAAGTGCCTAGGACATCAAAGGCCAGATCTGCTTCTCAAGCTGCTACCTCAAATTTAGGTATGGATTCCTATGAAGAAGTTTTTGTCAACATTAGTTTATGTATCTCATATCATCAATATAAAATTCACCATTCTTATCTTATTCATTTTGGCAGATAAACAGTATAATGATAAGTTATATTTTCTTTGTTATATCGCTCCATCTTATCTTTGTTTTTCATTTTATCTGAGTCACCCACCAATTTTAGAACACATAAAATTATGAAAGAAATAACTTCTTAAATATTTCAAATTACAGGATCCCCTTCAGGAAATAATGCTACTCCAGTTGGTCCTTGCCGCTACGACAGCTCCTTAGGTAAATTATTACTTTTATGACTTATGATTATCAATTTGTGTCTTTTAGTCTTTGTCTCCACTATGTCCCTAGGTGTGTGAATTTAGGTGTGAGCTTTATTTTTTATGCTTGTGCATTTATATTTTATAGGACATCTCTCTTAAAAAATTACTTCTTGTACTGGATAAACATATACCAGAGTAAGTAACTCATGACTTGCCTCTCTTGATTCTCATTCAGGTCTCTTAACGAAGAAGTTCATTAACCTGATCAAACATGCAGAAGATGGCATTCTAGATCTTAACAAAGCTGCTGATACATTAGAGGTAACCTTCACTTCGCAGTTGATACTACATAAGCATGTGTGATGAAGTTCTACCAGCTTACACATCTTTTCCTTTGAACAGGTGCAGAAAAGGCGCATATATGACATCACAAATGTCCTGGAAGGCATTGGTCTGATTGAAAAGAAACTCAAAAACAGGATCCAGTGGAAGTATGGAAATGCTTATCCAATAAATATATTTTATTGAAGTTGTTTATCATTTGAAGTTCTACATTATTCAAGATCATTCAATAAACAAAAAGTTGTAATTCAGTTCTATTGTTACATAGGGGTTTAGATGTCTCAAGACCAGGGGAAGTTGATGATAGTGTTACAAGTTTACAGGTAAGAAGAAATATCTCGATGCCTGCCTGCTCTCTTAATTTGTTATTTGTCATTTAGCGCAGTCATAATCTGCCAAGTAGCCTGAGCCAAAGGATTAATCGTTGGCTTCTGCTTCCTTTTCAGGCAGAAGTAGAAAATATGACTATTGAAGAACGTAGATTAAATGAACAGACAAGGTTATCTTCTGCCTCTAATACAATATTCAAGGTTTTATTTTGCTTCACCATTATGCTAATACTGTGTTATATTGGGTTTTTTCCAGAGAAATGCAAGAAAGGTTGACGGACCTGTGTGAAGATGAAAACAATCAAAGGTACCCGTTCTTTGGTTTATTAGTTCTTTTTGTTACTCTTGGTTATCAGCCGGTCTATCTGCTCACTTTTCCCTCCTTATTCTTGCGACTCATCTCCTCCAAAAGATGGCTTCTCGTTACTGAAGATGATATAAAGAGCTTACCTTGTCTTCAGGTAACTTTAGAACAGATGCTTTTGGTTTTTTCCTTTCATTCTTTTGTAATGCAATTTTCATCAAATGATCAGCGCTCACATTTATTGCCCTCATCAGAATGAAACACTGATAGCTATTAAAGCTCCACATGGCACCACTTTAGAAGTCCCAGATCCTGATGAGGTAACTGCTTTCTCTTTAGTACAGAAACTTTTCCTTTCAGTATCGTAGCAAGTCTACTGGTTATTTAACTTGTTACCTCAGCAAAATTTAAGTAGCAGTTCTACATATATTAGTATGTCTTCCTTTCTCCAATAGGCTGTTGATTATCCACAAAGGAGATACAGAATTGTGCTTCGCAGCACCATGGGACCAATTGACGTTTACCTTGTCAGGTACTTTTTCTCTTTTTGTTGCAACTAATCTATGATATTGAAACGATTAATATGTTGCTAGAAAGAGAGTGCAGTGTTTATATTTTAAGGGCAATGTAACTTAATAGGGGGAGTATAGATGATTTGTGTGTAATTCTTTCTTTGTTTTGAAAATTTTATTTAGTCAATTCGAGGAAAAGTTCGAAGAGATAAATGCTGTTGAGGCACCATCAGCCATGCCTTCAACATCAGGTTTCAATGAAAATGAAACTGCAACATTGCCTACTGAGGAGAGTGGAGGAGTTGATGGCAGAATAGACGAAAAAGAAAATCAAAGTGTGTGCGCAGATGTTGGTACTTCGCAGGACTTTGCAAGTGGAATCATGAAGATTGTTTCAGATGTTGATGTATGTTTTAGTTTACAAGCCTTAAAAAATTGATAGTTGAGTGTTTTACAAGCAAGAAAATTAGGAAATTCAGCATATATAGTGCATCATTTTGTCTTTTACGTGATGAGTAGGATTTTTGGAGAAACAATCTAATGCAGTTATTGCGAATTCAAATGAGCGATTGGATCAGTTTATTTTTTCCGTCACTGACTTTTTGTACGGTCCTGCAGAATGAAGAAGATTACTGGCTTTTGTCAGATGCTGATGTTAGCATCACTGACATCTGGAGGGCAGACTGTATCCTATTTGTTCCCTGTTTCATTTGGTTTTTTATTTTTATTTCTTGCTACCAATGGAAGTTATCCAGTGAAGATAGAATCCTTGACTCAAAAATAGCCGTTCTTGACTGGAACGAGTTGAACGTAATTCATGAGGATTATTCAATTGCTAACGTCAGTACTCCACGTGCCCAAACTCCGCCATCCAGTACCACTGAACTGCCTTCTGCAAATACAACTGGGAGCTGAGTAGTATTTTCCTGGCATTACTGTAAATGCTCAGGCGATGCTTGTTCTCGGTATAATAAAAGTTCTACATTTGATTAAAATCCTCTGTATAGATTCTGAATGACCTAAAGGAAACAGCAAGTGCATCCGGGAGCTTTTCCCTAAATGCTCCATCAGGAAGTTGGCATTTGAGGCCCAAGAAATAGGCTTCATTGTAAAGTTAATATATATACTTGAATTGTACTGGTAATGGCAATAATCAGATGGTTAATCTGCTGTCTAAATTCCACTGTGTTATCTAATTTTTCTTAGCTTTGAAATTGTGATAAGATGGTTTGTTGCCATCTATTGATGTTGATCAACTTGGACAAATTTGATTTATTACGCTGCATTTCAGAGCTACTTGTAACATGGGTTAGTGTCAAGTTGCCATTTTCCAGGTTTTGAAACTGCAATTACTGAAAGCTTTGCTGTTAAGAGTGGAGAAATTTGAGCATGCTATGTTAATCTTCACCTCAGCTTGGTCAGGCTACTTGAGAAAATAAGATGGTACAAATAATGTTGAGAAATGTATGCTTTGGGTTAATTATTGTGCTAGGTTTTGCATTTTATCAACAGAAATGGTGCAATTATTGCAGAGGAACAATGGTGCAATATTGCCCCCAGAGGTTTTGTTCAGAGTTAAGAGTGCAGCCGCGATGTGTGAGATAAGCGTACATCATGCATTTGAACCGTCATGAACCAAAAGTTTGGTATTTGAATAGAAAAAGTGATCTATTATTCATTGAATTTCGAACCGTGAGAATTGGCCCTCGACAATTAATGATTATGAAAAAAGAAAAAAAACAATGGAGTAATAGTTGGTTGAAAGTTATAAATATATACTATCAATGTAAGTTTCTTTGCACCAAAATCATGCCCTATCATATTAAGTCGTCCAAAGTCCATGTTTGGATTTCCTTATCAACTTCCATTCCAATCCGTCTGGGGACAACTTTATCACATTTCTGGAAATTCCCACGTGCGAACAATATGATTTTTCTCCACGGAATTGTGAAATTTATGTATCTTCACATTTAAATAGAATGTCGTATTTCACTTGTCCGAAAGTCACGACTTTAATGTTTTTGATTAAGAATTTTTAAGTGATGCTTAAGGCATGAATCGCCAAATTAACCTTGGTAACTTGAACAGGAATTTAGGCGTTTTGCCATGTAAGCATTTTCAGAAAAAGTTTCTGTTCTTGAGGAGAGAGGACTAAAATATCTAGATGGACAGAGTGGCTAAGTTACACTATATATATAGTGTGTATATATACATTTAATCATACGACGAGATCAGAGTAGTGTAATATATAGTGTGCATATATACATTTAATTTCTCTCCTTATTGTGAATCTTTCTGCAAGGATATATTGGGCTTCTATAGCTAGTCGATAATCTTGAGGACCTAACCGTAATTGAATTAATTAGTAGATCAAATATTAAAAGACATATTGAAGTTCATCTAAATAGATACTCATATATCAGATTAGATTCCCATCGAATCAGATTGATGTTCTTTGGTATGTATGTATATAGTGGAATAATAGTTATCAGGAAATGATACGGAAAACAAATTCTAGTTCAAGCAGACATCTACACACCTCGTATTCCTGATTCTTCTACTCCAATTAAACCACAAAATAAGTATAAAAGAGACTAATTACTTCAAAATAATTTTTGCACTATCATCACAGGTACAAGAATGGAGTCCTCTTCCTCGTCATACTTTCCCCGCACAAAGTCGTTACCAAACCCTAGTTTCAAACCTGTGGGATATTGCCCAAACGCTGGCTCTTCTTCTCCTTCAGAATACAAGTATGAATCATTGAAAGAGATATTAGGCTCTCCTAAAGGTCCCTTAATCACATGTAGTTGTGGAACTGATGATATACCCATTCGAAATCGCCTCGTTCAAAAGGCTGCATGGTCCTATTTGCAGCCTGCCATGCCAGCAATCAACACCCCATCTCACAACTGCTTCTTTTTGTTCCTGTGGGATAGATTGAAGCATCCACTCAAGTTTGTCAACCAAATCTTTGCAGCAGCTGGCGTTACACGCTACAATTAGCATAAAATTATGTTGTTAATTATGGCTTCTGTTGTTTTCTTTCATCTCTTTTGTTGGTTAGATTTTACTAGCTAGGTGTTTAGAAACTTTAGAGCTAGCTAACTAGTTTGTTAGGGTTTTTTCTTTTTAAACAAAAAAGTTTGTTTGGGTTTAGATCAATGGAAACACTAACAATCCAAAAGCACCCATATGCAAAGATTGAGGTGTGTGTTACTATCAAGGTTTTATTTCGACTTTGCTGCTGCTTATATGTACATATTTGACTTCTTAATTTTGCGACAGTTATCTCTCTTACCATTTATGATGATTTACAACACAAAATTTGGTTTTTTTTTTTTTTTCTAAAAAAAATAAATAATTAGATCTCAGAATTTCACGGTTTAGATATGCTTAACCCCAGAACTGAAAATTAGCAAGTCTTATAATTAAGGACTCCTCCTCCCAAACTCACATGCCCTTTACAATGGTATCTTCACATCTTAGGTTTAAAGAGTCAACCTCATGCATACACAACACAATTCCTTACTCTCTACGGCAGATTTGAGATTTGAGATTTGAGATCTGATGTTGAAAAATACCTCTATTTCCACCTTCTATATCTAATTATTCTCCCCCTCCCGCACCCTCTATCCCCGCGAAAAGAAGATCTCCAAAGAAAGGAGAACTAAATAAATTGTGGTTTGATAAACAATATTTGCTGAAATTTGGTATTTGAAATATTGAAGTACTAGTTCAGGTGAAATAATGATTTTTTGTTCACAAATCTTTAATTTTTGCATTAACTTTATCTACGAAGTTGGTTACAAAAGATTGTTTCGTGAATTTGTGTGATTCTTAGGTAAAGTTGAATGACTTTGTGTCAAATCTAGCACAGAGAATCAGTGATGAAGGTTTTGATATAAGGATCTTCTTCCTTGCTTGAGAGAAAATGAATACTCTACTGTTATATACCTAACTAACCGACTAACCACTAGGTAGTTACTAACTTTTAATTATTATACATGTACCCGTTACTTTAAGTTAACTATACACTACTACCCTACTTCACTCTTGCTACTCTTAACATTCCCCCTCAAACTGGAGGGTGCGAACATATTCAACAATCCCAGCTTGGAAACTAGATATTCATGTTGCTGCCTTCCAAGTCCTTTGGTCAAAATGTCTACTTGTTGCTCCCTAGATTGTATGTACTATGGCACTACATCTTCCTCTTGCACTTTCTCCCTTATGAAATGACAGTCTATTTCAATGTGTTTTGTTTGTTCATGATAGACTGGATTCTCAGCAATTTGAATTGCTGCCATGTTATCACATAATAACTCAACCGGTAGCTTCAATTTTATCCCCAGTTCTTCATATAATCTGATCAATCATATTATTTCTGATATTACTTAAGCCATGCTCCTGTACTTAGCTCCAGCGGAGCTCTTGGACACTATAGTTTGCTTTCTGGACTTCCATGATATTAAGTATTCCCATACTTCACAAAGTACCTTGTCGTTGATCTCCTAGTGTTTGGACATAAGGCCTAATCTGTATCACAGTACGCCTTGGTTTCTTTTGCTGGCTTGCTTGACAATAGCACTCCCAATCCAGGTTCTCTCTTGATGTACCTAACAATTTTCATGGTTGCTTCCATATGAGATCTCTTTGGGTGCTGCAGGAACTAGCTCAAGGTTTGAACCGCAAAACTTATATCTAGCCTAGCCATTGTAAGATACAACAACTTACCTATTAGTCTTTAATAAGATCCTATATCACAATATTCTCCACTGGTTAACTTCTGATTGCTCTCCAAAGGAGTCCAAGCAGGTTTTGCTGCCCCTAAACCTGAATCTGAAATCAACTACAGAGCATATTTTCTTTGATTCATAAATATTTCATGTCTAGACCTTGAAAATTCTATCCCCAAGAAAAACTTAAACTATCCCATATCCTTTATTTTGAAGACTTGTTGTAGTGTATTCTTAGTATCACAGACCAGCTCATCATCATTTTCAGTAATGAGTAAATCATCAATATATACTAAGACAACTGCAATCTTGGACCCTACCATTTTGATTAATAGGAAATGATCCAATTGACTCTGCAAAAAAATAGACTTCATCAATGCATCTACTAACTTCACATTCCATTATCGAGATGATTGCTTAAGACCATACAAGGACTTAACAAGCTTACATGCTAGACCTGACTCTCCCTTGCTGTGAAAGCCTTGAGGAAGTTGCATGTAAACTTCATCATAAAGGTCCTAGTAAAGAAGACATTATAGACATCCATTTGGGGGATATGCCAGTCTTGAGCTGCAACAATGGATAACACTACCCTCATTGTCACCATCTTTACAATTAGTAAAAAGGTGTCTTGATAATCAAAACCTTCCCTTTAGTTGTACCCTTTGGCCACTAGCCTTGCTTTGTACCTTTCAACTTCACCATTTGCCTTGTATTTGAATTTGTACACCCACTTGAAACCAATAGCTCTCTTGTTTGGTGGTAATGACACTATTTTCCAAGTCTTGTTGTCTGCAAGAGCTATGAGTTCAGCTTTCATTGCATCTAGCCATTTGGGATCTTTGCAAGCTTTATTAAAAGAAGTAGGTTCAACTGTTGTAGAAAATGCTGCTAGAGTAACATGATAGCTATGGAACAAGCTGCTGTAATCCAGGTAGTTACTCATGGGGTAATGACAAGAGCTACTGGCCTGAGCAGTCATATAGTCATGCATCCACAGTGGTGGCCCTTTATTTCTAGTTGACTTTCTCAGAGGAGCCTCATGGTTGTCTTCTGTAAACATAATGTCCTGGTGCACACTTACATCTTCAACCGTGCCAACACCTTCATCTGTAACTGTAGGACCTATATCTCCAGGTTCACTTGTTGTTGCTTCCTCTGAGTAAAGATCTTCCATACCAGCCCCTTGCTCTTCACTGTGACCTTCAAGCTGAGGATCAATTACGGTTGTAGGAGCAGGATCAGTTGTGTTTGCAGTCACATCCTGTGTGATCAAGGAAGGATCAGGTGGAAACATAGCAGTTCCTTTGATCTTCAAGTCCTTGAAAGGGAAGACTGTCTCCCTAAAAGCCACATTCCTGCTAACAAAGAATTTTTTGTGAGCTAAATCAAATAACAGATAGCCTTTTTGCACAACTGAGTACCCCATTAGGACACAACCTACATCTCTTGGTTGGAATTTGTCCCCAATGACTGATGGTGTAGCATAGCAAAGGGATTCTGGAACTTTCATATGTTTCATGGATGACTTTTTTTATGAAATAATTCACAAGGAGACTTCTCTGCAAGCACTGGTGTAGGCATTCTATTTATCCAGTAGACTGCCAACAACACACATTTATCCCAAAATTTTAATGAAATATGCCCTTGAAACCTGACTGCTCTAGCTACCTCTAATATGTGTCTGTGTTTTTTTTCTACCACCCCATTCTGCTGGAGTGTGTAGGGGCAGGACCTCTGATAAACTATGCCAAAGCTATTAAACAGATTTGTACATTCAAAATTAAGGAATTCTGTCCCATTGTCTGTTCTAATCGCTTTAATCTTAGTGTTGAGCTGTGTTTGGGCCATCGGAAGAAAATTTCTAATAACAACAGTTGCATCAGACTTTAGCTTTAACAAATAAATCCATGTTACTATAGAGTGATCATCTACTATTGTAAAAAATATTTATTTCTGTCATGTGTTGCAATTCGAAATGGTCCCATTACATCCATGTGCAACAATTCAAACACACTTTCTACTAGTAGGAAAGGGCAGTTTTGCCTGTTTGGCCAAGGGGCAAACTTCACAGCTATTTATTACACTTATACATAGTTTTTCATTGACATTCAACATATGCTTCATAACTCTTGATGATGGGTGACCCATTCTTCTATGCCAAAGATGTAAGGTATTTTGATCTAGCTGCACATTCATGGACTGTGGAACTAACTCTTGTCCTCTACTTGAAGTTGCAGGAGTCAGTAGATAGAGCCCATTAGCTTCTCTACCAAATCCCATTTAGCTTCCAAGTGTAGAAGTCCAGAAGCACACAAAAGCTAGGAAAAAATGCAACCATACATCTCAGTTCTCTAGTTAATTTGGGTACAAACAATAGACTGTACTTGAAATATGGGATATAAAATATATTCTTAATATCTTTCCCTTGTCCTATATTGAATTTACCAATATGTGAAATTGTTGCCTTAGTTCCATTAGGTTATTGCACTATTTTTCTATTTTGAGATATTACATTGTATATATCAGAAAGTGAGCTAAAATTTGAGGTCATGTGATTAGTTGCACCTGTATCTATGATTCACTCATGAGTGCAACCTGCCTTGTCTAAACAGACAGTGGAATGAGATATACCTACCATATTAATTGTAGTCCCCTGCACTTCTTCTTTGTTGAGCAGCTTCAGGATCTGATTGAATTGCTCCTCTGTGAACATAGGCCCTATTCCTTATCCTGAAGAATTGCCCTTCTCAGCATGATTGCACATGTTAGGTACATTCCAGTTGCCCTGCATCTGTGGATTAGTTTCTCCAATCACAACCGAATTAGCTGAACTATATCATCCTCTCCTTTTGGGTTTGAAATCAGCTGGGTAACCTACTATCTTGTAACAGTTCTCTCTAGTGTGCCCTTTCATTTTACAGAAATCATTTTGGAGATTGTAATTCTTCTTAGGTCGAAATTGACCAACCAACAGTCCTAGTAGACATCAATGTAGCAACTTCGTTTCCTTCAGCTAATTCATGGGGATTAGACATAGCTCTTTGACTCTCAAGTTCCATTAACATGAAGTATGCCTTATTCACTGTAGGGACTGGGATCATCATAAGTATCTGGCAACGAGCTTGTTCATATGACTCATTGAGTCACATCAGGAACTGTAGCAACTTCAAACATTCCATAAATGCAACAAATTTACTAGATTTTGCATAGTCGCAACCCGGAGCTGGGGCCAAACTATCAAACTCTGCCCAGAGTAAACGCATC